GTAAACCGATTCGTAAGAATTATGCCATATATTTCATTTCACTTACCGTTCAGTTCGACTTGGAAAAGAAAAACAACCTGTCTTTCCGCATTTCCCTTTTTTATTGTGCAATTGGGAACCCAACAACGCCCTTTGTATATCGCATTTCTTACTAAACAAGTTGCCAAAAAACAATAAATAAAATCAATCACTTCGGTCAAACGTGCAGAGAATGGCGAACAACATAGAGAAACCGTCGTATATCTGTCGTACGCGGTTTAGCGAACAAAATCCCACAAATCAAACGTTCTGCTTTTCAAAAATTAGTTCTCAAAAGCCCCTGCACACGCACAGGGTGCAGATAATGGCGGAACTTACCTCCCCTCTCACCGTCTCCTGCCCCCGCTCTCTTGTCCCTCCCACCACTACTTTCAAATAAGGACGTTTTACCAGCTATTAAGTAACACCCCCCTGCCAACCCCTGTGAAGCGACCTAAACCTTACCCCTATCCTTATTCCTTCCCAATTCTGCCCGATGGGTAGATGACGCAGGGCGCGTGCGAGACGCGAGCGCGAAGACGCTACCTGTCGGCAACTCCCTCACTCACTGCTACTAACGTGTCTTGACTACAGAGCGGCCCCTAGAGGGTGCTGGGTGCATAATAAAGGATTACTCCAACGTGCGCTCAACGCTTATAGGAGCTTGGAGACGCGTTGCGTGTATTAACGCAACAAATACGCAACGCGTAAATATAAACATTTTAAGAGGGAGTACAAGCTGTACATTTACGTCTGGGAATACAAAACTTGGGCATCCCGGAATACGCCTTTAGCGATTGAATAAACCCACAAAAGCTCAATCAGGATGGCGGCTTAGAGCTGAACATTATCAATTCACGGAGAAAAGTGGAAGAGAAGGGAAACATAAATGAAAACAAAGAAAATCCGGAAGAGAAAGAAGTTAGAGACTGGGAAGGGGACGAACTGTACATTTATGTCTGGTATTGCAAGACAAGTGACCATCTCGGCGTACGCCTTAAGCGATTGTCTAAACCCAGAAAACCACAATCAGGATGGCGGTTTACGGCCGAAAATTATAACTGAATATGTTATACATTGGAGTGAAAGAGAAGTTTAGTGAAAGAGAAGAGAAAAGACGAGAAGAGAAAAGAAGAAGAGGAAAAAAGGGGAAGTGGTCATAAAGTAAAATTGGGGAAAGTTGTGAGGGAGAGGGAAGAGAGAAGAAGCGAAGAAAAGGAGGCGAAAAAAGTGAAATTATTCGAGGAATGTTACAGAAAGCTACGTTTGGTTTACATTAGGACTATGCATAAATTTAAAATAATTTTAACATCAAAGATGCAAAATACACTATATGCTATTGACAACAGTAATTTAAAATGCAATATTGACAGTATTAAGGGACAATATAAAGCATGCTGGAATCTTAACATCAATTTTGTTTATGCCAATATATTGTAATAAAGATTATGATGTCTGTACAAAAAACTACAAGTATAATTTATCTGGAACGTCGGTAAAATTTTATTGTAATTTATTAAACAATTTCATTAATATACACAATAAAATAATGATGTTAATTATTTAGATGTGAGAGCGAAGGGAAAATGAGGATAGAGTACTGAGGTATGGGATGAGATTTAGAGTGGGAAAAGTACGGTGTTTAGCGGGAGTGGTGACCAGGGGCTTGGATGTGGGAAAAGTCTGGAGATTGAAGAGGACGTTATCTCCATTCTACTATGTGTCATTATTACTTCCCCAAGTAGTTAATTCATTTTTGAATTTACGGAAAGTATTTGAATGTTTTAGACTCGCCGGTAGTTAATTCCAGGCGCCGATAGTTGGAATGGTGCATGACGTTCTGAACGAAGTCGCGTTGTGACGTGGTACACAAAGCAGTGCTGAATTACGACCTCGATTCAGAGGATTGAAGTTACTTATGAGGCGTGTTACATGAGAAACGTTTAAAATTGTATAAAGAAGAAGTTGAGAGTGGCATAACCGTCTTTTGTCTAGAGTGAGCATACGAATTCTGTCAAAAAATACGTTATATAGTCTTATTTTCTTAGTTCAAAAGTAAACCGTACGCATGCGTTCTGGGCTACTTGAAGTTTACGTTGTAATTTGAATGTC